GTATTTAGTTGAGATCTTACCCCTCTTCTTCTTCTCTTCTTTGCACGACTTGCCTAATGGACACACAATTATATAAATTAATAATAAATAAATAGTCAAAACAACAACAACAATGAATACCAAATTGATATAAAACATCATAATTACAAATCATTAACATTCAAATTCAGYTTTAGCACTACTGCATGCTTTTAAAGCAAAAGTTTGCAGTCAAATCACTAAAAGACATTCAGTGCTTGAGATATTGTTCAGTATTGAATGCTCAAGAATGAGTGTCGGTCAGACTGGAACATAAGTGAGYGAGTGTTGTGGGATGTTTTTACCTTTTTCTGTTCCATCATAATATCAAAGTCCCATACAGTCCTAYAGCAAGATGTAAAAAGAAAAGAATACTATTTAACAATATACTTCAAATAAAACACAGAAAAAAGTGTCAGCCATTTTGCTAATATCAATTTATACTAATGAGAAATCCTTTGACAATGAACCATGAACATGGCTGCCGTGTCATCAACAACATGGCTGCAGTGAAGTCAACTGAACATCATCAATGTTGCTGTTTTCTGTATTATTATCCTAATCTACTACATGCAGTATTTGTTCACAAAGAGGATGTTCTCAATACTTACTCAGAGACACTTCTTTCTTCATCATCTGAATCACTTTCCTCTCCCTCCTTAGTATCCTTTGGTTTAGGTACAGACATGGATTCTACTTCACCAGAGACCCCTTCATCTTCATCATCAGATATCATGGATTTCGAGGGTGTACTGGGGACATCTGTATTATAAACAGAYATGGTAAAGAATCGTTATTGTATTTATTTAAAATATTGCATTTGGCAGAAGTTCGGGCAGTGAACYACCTACACTTCTTCAAAATATATTTGAGAACTTTGATATTGTTCATTATATTTGAGTTGATTCATATCTATCTTTCTATTTAAATTTTACTGGCTTTGGCAATTTCATAAGTAGAACTATATTATCCGTCACTCTAGATAACAAGATTTAGGCTTTGAATTAATTTCCAGACTGGATATTCAATATGTTATCATTAGTGTTAAGACATTAGGTTGTATACYATCTTTTACCTTGTTTGGGTCGAGAAATTTCAATCTCATCTTGATCAAAGCCCTACAATAGATAATGTAGGATAGTAAAGCGCATAATGTCTTAATGAATATTTACCAATTAGATCAAAAAGTCTAGTAAAGACATACATGTACTCTGCAGAATGGAATATTAAAAGTCAGTCCACAATATACAACATTTGTAAACATGAGAAATAGTACTACAAACGCACCTCAAACTCTTCCTCCTCATCACTAGCACCAAAGATATCTTGAATCAATTGGTCTCCACCCTCTTCATCTGGCTCTGATCTGAAAATATACAGAATATAAAGAACAACATTATGAGAGTTGACACAGTTGCTGTCTAGGAATTCTACGGTTATATCAGCTTTTAAAAGATTGTGAAATCTTTCTGCTAAGGGTCATTGTTATGTTTTAACTCTAAACAAAACACTGAACAAAACAGGATGACTGCAGATTTATGTGGATGTCGTCTTTACCTTTCATCATCTGGTATATCTTCAGATGTACTGGGCTTTTCTTCGTCCTCTTCCTGGTCACTTACTATAACATATATCAGCCTATTACATATAGCTCATTTTCTGGAWTAACTATTAACTCATTCATTCAAAAATAGTTATATCCTGGATTATGACTCTCTAAGGTCAACCAAACAATGAATATTCCCCACAGCTAAAGTCTACATGCATTAACTTTTGATACTGCACACCAAGCTTTGTGCAAAATCACCTGATTTTTCTACTTTCTCTTCTTCATCTTCCTGTATGTCCTCCTCCTCCTTCTTGGATTCTTCAATGTCTTCTTCTTTACCTTCTTCTGAGTTCTCCTCRCATATTTCTTCAACATCTTTCTTTAATATATCCTCAACTATTTCTGTATCTGGCTCAGATAATCCTAATCCTATGGGAGATACAGGCATTGTCTCTTCATCATCTTTATTTTTCTCTACAGTTTCTTCCTCATCATTAGAGCTGTTCTTCTCTTCATCTGAAGTTATAAGCTTAACATCTGTGTCTGGTACACTTTCTGAATTATCAACAGGTGAAACAGTTTTTTCTTGCCCTGTAAGATCACTTTCTTCAGTTTCTTTTTCTAGAGTATCATTTTCATTATCATCACCATCATTATACATAGTGTCTGTGTTATCAACATTATGATTTTCACTGTCAACAGCTTCAATCTCTTCTTTCTCTGAGTCATTGTCAACAGAAGTAATATTTCTAAACTCTTCACTATCTTTCTCTTTATTATCGTGTTCTGATGTATCGCTTACTGGGCTGTCTGTAACCACAGGAGTTTCTTCTTGTTTACTGCCTAGTTTTTCTTTATCTTCATCGTCAGAAATATCACTAAAAACGTCGTCTTCAGGTTTGTCCTCGTGATCATGGTAGTCTGGTGTTGGAGGTCGATCAATTTCTTGGTCTTCATCACCGCTATTTTCCATTGGATCCTCTACACTATCAGCCATTGCATTTAAAATGTATTACTTAGTTATTAAGGGTTTACTGATTATGAAAAAAACACGTAAAAGTGTATAAAATAAGACGATTTTCTTAAAAATGTCAAGGAAGCTACCTCCGGCCAGTTGTTTCATGTAATGGCTAAGTAGCCTGGCCTGTCGCTTGGTTTGAATGCCTGGATTGAATTATGGGTATTGTTGCGTACCACAGGTAGCCCAAACAAGAATGATACATTATCAAGGTGAAGAGAGCTATTTACACGACGGCGTAACTTTACTAAAACTACCAAAAACTACCAGAAAGTCTTGCGCATTTTCAGATTTTTAATTTCTTTGGAGATTAGTAAAAGCATTCTTGTAGTTAATGACGCCATAACACAAATCGCCATTATAATACTATTAGAGTCTCCTCACTTTGCGAAATCTTGGGACGGAATTCAGACGTAATATCAGGAATCCATTGCATTGGAAATGGGATGCTTTGCATTCTAAATTCAATATAATGGAATCCAACGCTCCGGTGACTCCTTGAGCCGGGAAGTAATCGTTGTTATTTTTAAGTGATCAAGAAGAATATCATTAACAGAAACTTGTACAAATCTATCTTACGTTACATGTGGAGTGTGATAACTTATTTTAGATCAGTTCTGTTGCTTCTATCTATCAACATTTTTAAAACATAGTTGGATTACCATCAAAGATTTACAAACGTGCGCATCGTTTATACATGTCTTTATACACGTGTAAAGAACACAGGTTGATCAAACATTACATGTAGTTGTGTTATTTGTAATGTTAAGCCTGACTCAACAATTTCAAAGTACACACGTTGGTATTATTTGATTGAATACAGTAGTTTTTCTTGTTTTATAGATCATAATTGCGATTAAAGCTCGTAAGTTTACCCCCTAGTGCGATGGGAGTGGTTAAACGAGTAGCTTATGTTGATTTGATGTGAATATAAACAAAAAATGCGACAACGTTCGTCTGCCAGAGATTTTAAGTTAATTGGAAGTACTTGATTCTCTAGCTTTGTCGTAGTTTCTCACAGCTATGATACGCCCTTGGAATTAGCAGGGCAATTTGTTTTGAGCACCTCATGATTTTCTAACATGACATTTTAATTGAATTTACTGCGGCTTTGTCGAAGTGATAAACATCAATAAAATACTTTTATTTCCATAAAGCCTTCCTTCTGGAAAAGTCTATCCAATACATCATGCAGGGTGATTCATGTGTCAGGTCATAATCAGCTATCTCCGTGCTATGGAGGTACAATAGTAATGGGAAAARGTTGCTCTGATGTCATTAAGATCATACACCAACATTTAAAATTAACAGTTTTTTCTGCAATGATAGTGTACTTTATAACCTTTACTAGAGCATAAGTTTGTATTTTTAGTCGCATCAAGCGCTAAACAGACGTAAAAACAGTTCGTCTTATTCAACTATAACAGAATAAAGAGAAGCGATCAAGATAACAATCACATGGAAATATCGACAAAATCGCGTTTTTATTATTGATAAAATCGGATGCAAAACTATGGGCATAACTAGAGCTGTGCAAAAACATAAAAAATCATCATTTGTYCATCGATCAGAAACTACTCATTTTTATAACGCCGAAGATTATTCTCGAAATTATAAAGAGGTTAATCAACAGGTTTATAACAGGTGAAATTATTATCACTCTAGTTCCTAATGACATTAGTGACGCTACATCATGAAGCAGTTAAGGGCGGTCACAGCTCAGAACATCCGCCCGCTMACCTCATAACAAACTCCCATCTTCACTGACGCATCATCGTAAAATGGTTTTTAATAATGCTTATAAAGATAAACTTAATTTCAAACAACTGGGTACCCRAGTTACCTTTGGTAATCCGAATCATTATTGAGTGCATCTAGAAACTTCGTGGTCTTCATGGCTTTTATCAGTTTCGTAAAGWRGAAAACGAATATTTGATGAAAAACTKCTTACCCAAATTGCGTTCGTAAATTAAATTATGCTTATTATTATTTTCTCACGTATTTCTTTCATATTCATTATCATTGGATTTGTCGATAATGTAGATTATTTCTCTCGAATTAGTTGTATTGGTCAGATAAAGCAATTTTGCCTTGATTTTCTTACTTTATTTTATAACAAATAGCCAGAGTTTTTATCGACTATATTGCCTGAGATTTTTAAGTTTATGCTTTAATTTTTTTTCACTTTTTGACATTTTGAATGCAACTTGAATTTTAACCAAAAAGAGCTTGAAGCAACCAACTTATCAAAAGCCATTGTCGCGGAGATGATCTCCAGATTAATAAGTTTCTTTTGACTGAATTCAATATTGYTTCTCGTTAGCTATGAAAAGTAATTTACTATGGACTATGGTAGAATTTGCCAGATTGCCTAAACTCGTAAACATTGTCGTTAAACTTGAATATTGTACAAGATAGAATTCCCCTAAACGCACTTCCCTAAATAAAGAAAGATAGCGATCGTAATGTGGTTAAGCTGCTGGCGTGAAAAACTGTAATTCGGATTCAAAGCAGGAATCTTGTATTTATATTGAAACGATCAGAGAACTTTGGTTAATTTTAGTCGATCACATCGTTTCATTAGATGGTCAACCACCAACTGAAATCCAAACGTTACAGGCTAATTGTTTAGAAAACCATTACAAAAATATGAATTTCAAAAAACTAATTTCGTAAACGAAGTTTGTTATTGAAGTAAAATGTTTGTTTGACTAAAATTATGATTTTGCTGTGTTTATTTGAGTTTCAAGTTACGCGGATCCAACTAAATAATTCACTAAAAATATATATATTTTAATAAAAATATGTTATTTAACTAAGATGTAAACTTTTTACKCCTAGTCTATGTCTCCTGAAGGATTCCTGGTCTGTGTTATCGTCATCCTCGCTTACTATTGAAGAATTCGTGCATAAAATCTTTTTGAAGTTCGTAACAAATAGAAACACCGGTAGGGCTACTACGAGAACACCAATGACAGTTAGTACAGAACCAATGATTTTCCCTTGGGTCGTTAAGGGGTAGTGATCCCCGTAACCTACTGTAGTTACGGTATTGATTGACCACCAGAAAGCCCCGGGAATGCTTGTAAATTTGCTATCAGGTTGTCCATTTTCACAGTAATAAGCTATACTGGACGATAGTAATACAGTCATTAACACAAACATTAAAAACATTCCCAGCTCTCTAAGACTTGTTAGAAATGTGAATAACAAAATCCGCATTCCACTTGAGTAACGTGATAATTTAAAGATACGTAAAATRCGTAAAATCCGGGCCACTCGCATCGCTGACAGACCTCCTGACCTGCTTCTTTCAATTAGCAAGACAAAATAATATGAAAAAACTGTAAGGATGTCAATGAAATTCAGAAACTGAGTGAAAAACAACTTCTTTTTTGGCGCCGTTACAAATCGTATAATAAGTTCTAGTGTGAACCAGATATAACATGACATTTCAAGCAACGCGTAGACATTACCATCTAGTGCAGATTTTACCGAGCCAACAGATTCTTCAAAGTCATACAAATGAGACTCAATACATGGAATAAGAATTGACAAGAAAATCACGCTGGCGGTGAAGACTCCAAGAAATCTAGCGCCAATCGACGAATCTGGATATGCGAAAAGAACCCAAAGCTCGCGCTGTAGAGAATTTGAGGGCAGAACGTCCGTGTGAGAGCTGTTTCCCGACAARGCCTTTTCAAGYTTTTCTCTTGCCGTCACTAAATCGCTTTCAATTCCAAAAAATCGGATTTCTTCTGCAAAAATGTCTTCTGGAACAGGATCTGGTTTAATAAGTCGTCCACACGACTGATAGTAAAATAAAATAGCATCAAAAGCATGGCGGTTGCGGTTGAAAAAATACTCGTGATGTCTGTGATCGAAGTATGCCGAGCGTTTTGAAGGACAACCAAGAAGCGTCTCCGGGTACCGAGAGAGTGTCGACTCAAGAGTTTCATAACGTTCTCCGCTAACGTTGATGACCACTCGTTCACTAAGTAGTCCACCGGAAGTACAGGACATTATTTGCGTCTGTCGTAGTATGCCTGAGTTTTAACCGTATTTGGAGTTTACAAGTGCATTTTTTGACCGCGTAAGTCTTGAATGTCCAGTCCGTTAAATATCAAAATTTGTTRATACTAAATAGTCATTCCATGACTGGCCAAAGGCTATTATTCAGAATTTCCTGCTGTTGCTCAACAGGCTTTTTGACWA